AATCCTGATTTCTGGGCTCATCCTCCGGAAATTCTGTTTCTTTGTTACTAATGTTGTGGTCCCACCCCATAACAAAAAAACAGAATTTCCAGAGGATGAGGCCCAGAAATCAGGATTTTAAAAAGATTCCCAGGTGATTCTAATGTGCAGCCAAGGTTGAGAACCACTGTTCTATAAGGTTTGGCTCATGTTGAGTAACTGGGGGAAATGCCACTTCCCAATATAAGTCATAATTAATACCAATGACATCTTCATTAAAAAGTAGACCCATTTAGTTTTAATATGGAGAAAATGTGTTCAATTTCTTTAAACCACCATTATGTTCAACTCTTAGCTAACTTGCGATAACATGGTTGGTATAACTTCTCGTGATTTGCAGATCTATTTAGGGGTTCCTCTTGTTCTTCTTCCCTTTTATGTTAGGGTTCTCCAGGCCTCTGCCCTTGCTCAGATTGCTTCTTAAACCCCATCAGAGGTCAAAACATTAGAATGTACTAGGAGATCATGCTGGTGACTATAACGAATGAAGTGGGCAGGCCAAGTGACCTGGAGAATGCACACCTCATGTCCTGGAAGCAGTCTGGACTCCATGCCAGCTTGTCCCTTGAAGGGCCTCAATATTGTGAGATTGTCTGCATTTTCCAATGGGATTTATTTTTTTAAATGTGTGTGTAAACTATCCCAGTTCAAAAGCTCCTCCTCTCTCTTGCCTAATAGTAAAATCACTCCTGTGCTTAAATCCTCTGACTCCCTCTTGCCTTGACTAGGAGTTCAAGTTCTTTACTTTGGTGTTTTGGGTCCGCTGCACATATAATGTTGAGCCAAGCACACTTCCTTGGAGGAGTGCTCAGTCTTGTAGGGAGACCTGATAAATAGGCCTCCACGCAGAGGGCCGTAACTCCCTGTGGGCCCTCCCCTTGCACACTGCATAATAAGGTGTGTTTGTGGGCTCCTTGAGGAGAGGGACTGGTGTTTGGAGCTTAAGGTTTGTTGAATGAATGAATGAATGAAATAAAAGTTCATTATAGTTCACCTCTATTGGGGTTTTCCAGGCTTCACATAGGCTAAAATAAACCCAGTGAATTAAAAATCCAACTAACCACAGTTCACTACAGATTTTTCTGTTGTTTGTTTGTTTGTTTTTACATTCAAACCCAGAAAGGAAAACATTTTTCAGACAAAAAACGAAAGACCAACTATCACAAGTGCCACTTTGAGTCTTACTACTTTTAGTACTTCCATGGGGTTAAACCTGGTCCCATCCACTGTCATCACATTCTGTAATTTCCAACTTCTGGAAGGAGAATTGACACACTTGGCGATGATCCTAAACGCAAGCTATTTGAACAAGGAATGACAAAATCTCTTATGAAATGCAAAGTAAAAGTGAAAAATATTCGATAAACTTTAAAAGGTTTGCCAACTCACTTTCTTTCTCAACTTCCAGAATTCCCTTATCTTGAATGTCGAAATTGGACTGTCCTGTACTATATTACAGCACTTACTTGTTAATTATGATCCCTCACACTTCAAACGAATGAGTGGGAGGGTCCATCTAAGGTTAGGTTGGATTTGGTTGTATCTTGTTAAAATTTACCTATAACATGCTTAATAATAGTATATTCAAAGGAAATCCTTGAGAGTTTTTTTAAAAGGAGCAGCATTGCCAACATGAGTTTTTCTCCGCTCTGAAATACCAAAATTAATATGACTTCCTGGCTGTCTCCTACCCAGAGGAGCTTTAAATGGCATGCAGCCTACAGAGGCTTGTTATAATTTCTTGATCTTTCGCTCCTTCAGTATTTCTGTGAAGGGAAAGAACATGTTTTACACCCAGGGGTTTTAGTTATAAAGTAGGGGAAAGGTAGAAATGTGTGCTGAGTAAGCCCAGGCCGCCCGAGGGCACTCTCGTTATAGCTTTTCAAAAGGGCAAGTGGTGCTTAAAAGAAGTCATTCCCAATATTTCCCCTAGACCAGTGGTCAGCAAACTGCAGCTCTCGAGCCCACATGTGGCTCTTTGGCCCCTTGAATGTGGCTCTTCCACAAAATACCACGTGCGGGCGCGCACATACAGTGCGATTGAAACTTCGTGGCCCATGCGCAGAAGTCGGTATTTTGTGGAAGAGCCACGCTCCAGGGGCCAAAGAGCCGCATGTGGCTCGGGAGCCGCAGTTTGCCGACCACTGCCCTAGACCCTTGTAATTTCAGGAACTCTGAAATGAGACCCTGAGAATCTCAATTTCTCATTACATATTTTCCCCA